AGTTTTATATTTTTTCATTACTCGCAACGTACAATTTCAAATTATTCTCTTAGGTAAATGGGAAATATATTATCAAGAGTGGAACAGATTTTCGTCAGTTTTCTAAAGTATCTTTGTCATTTGAGAAAGCAACGGTGGAAATTACTGTTGAAGACATTTCAGTTACTTCATCTTATGATGAAGATCCTAATGTGAAAGCAGCTTTGGAAAAATATGACAGTAAGTACTTACAAAAATAATTCTTTTGCAGTTGTATATGTAATTTTATTGAATGCAAATTTAATTCTTCTTTAGGTGTAATGGAAGGCAAAATGGATGAAGTTCTTGGATCATTTAGTGTACCATTGGATGGACGTTTCCAAAGTGTTCGTACAAGTGAATCAAATTTAGGAAATTGGATATGTGATGTTGTTTTAGCAGCCACTGGAGCAGATCTGGTCTTACTTAATTCTGGTACATTTCGTTCAGATATGGTTCATCCTGCTGGGAACTTCACAATGCGAGATCTAGTTACTGTCATACCAATGATGGATCCTCTGGTGGTGATATCTGTTACAGGTAAGTTTACTCGATCAATATTGTTACACTGCAATAATTTCAGTAGTATGCAATTTTTTTTTATATTATAATAATCCTGTTAAAATTTCAATGCACACCAAATTCTAATTTTCAACATATTCTGCATTGGTAATATTCTTGGGTCAGGCCTACAGATGAGCGCAGATATTTTGAGAGCTTCTAAAACAGTTACATATTGCGGAAGTCCACATCATTCTGTCAGCCTCAGGAGTTTAAACCCGCGACTGATAATTCTTCAGGAGTGTCAGCTCAGTTTTACAGGCAGGGATTGTTTTTAGAGGAGAGATTTAATTTGTTTTGTTATCATCACCAAATTAGTGGTTTTATAACTGCACATACTTCTTGCATTATTTTCTAACTTTTGCCCTTTTTCAAAAATTCAGAGTTCAGTGACAATGAGACCTGTGCCATCTTTTAAGTGTCTTTTGCATTAACCAAGTAAAAAATTTAAAGGAAATATTTGAAGTTATTTTGAGAAAATCTTGTTTTTATAATGGTTTTATTTCACACAAAATTATGTGCAAACTACTTGAATTTTAAAGAAATTGTGCATGACCACATTGAAAGATCCAGTTTTGAAGAACAGATTTCATTAGGAAAAAAATCTTGATCTTGTGTACTTTCTATTGTGTATTGTGATTTGATACAAATTGCATCAAAAAGTTTGTGAGAAAATTAATATCTTGATTCCCATTCCTAAAATCATTCACTTTTCTTAAATTCTATCTTGATAAATAAATAGTTTCCATGTAAACATTCTTCAGTTGGCAGAATGATAAAACAATAGGGAGCACAAATACGGTGTAAGTTATTCAAAATTTATGAAGTAAATGTGAATCGGTATCGCATACATTCATGTTACCAACCATCCCCAATAGGATGTGGCAGAAATTAATATTAAATAATCACTTACGTGTCTGAACAGAAAATACTGGAGCATTATTCACATAACAGTCTGAATTATCTGAAGATAGTACATAAAGTAATTTAATGTTTTCAGTTTTATTATTGGTCAGTAAGCAAATGCCTTAGAATAAAAGGAAGGAAAATGAGGTATTTGTGTATCATTGTTTTCCATATAACACATCACCTATAAAACCATCTATGACCATAAAAGCTTCATATTTTTTTGTAAAAACACAAAAATTATTTAATAAAAAACCTCTATACAAGAAAACTACATCATTAACGGAAGCCATTTCTCCCCTTCTGTGACATCAGAGACCAGAATGAACATAAATTTCAAAAATATAGAGAATATGGTATACATGTTGGGAGAAGAACTGCAGGAGAGAGGGGGCAAAATGGTTACGAAATTGGATGTTGTCCCCTCTCTACATAAAGCAAGTAACCCAAAGCTCCATAATTCACTTTTCACTTGGTCTTGAAGGGCACCTTTCATAGACACACTGCTGATGGTAACATTATCATGTCTATTGTCGAATAATGTTCTACTGTAGAATATTGCGATAGGGCATCGCTAAGGGTCTGTCTGAGCCCTTGACAGAAAAATTCACCTATACAGTTTTTTTGTTCTTATGAAAATGTAATATTTATTTACATTGTCATTACTCATGTCAACACCATCCATAGATTCATATGTTGCAATTATTAGTGGGTGTGGTATTGTAATTTTCCTCTTCTTTGAGGCACCCAAAGAAGACACTTTGAACAGAAATTTGCACGATTTGCCAAGAAGAACAGTCATTATCCTTTTATTTATTTATATCAACTTAGTATTCTTTATTGCGGACCACCTCAAATATACAACTTTCCTCAGAATTGAAAAGTTTATTTTGAGAAAGCTGAACATCATTAGGTTTTCTCTTTGGGTGGCAGAAATATGTCAAATTCTTCTGTAGAATGCATAGCAAGAAATGAATAATCAATGACAAGGTCTCTTAGACAAATATACAATCTTCAGAATTTGTCATCAGCTTAGCAGATGCTTTTTGACATGTGTAGGTCAGTGCCAGATTTAATGTTTTTTGCAGGGGTGGGACATCACTGCTTCCCAACATATAATAGCACTATTCTTACAGAACTAATGATCGTAAGAGTTGATGCAATCCAAAATTAATCCATTAATAAATGCAGCAGATGCTTTCAATGTACCCATTGAAATCTTCAAAATTACCTCGATCTCTATTTGATAAAACTCCACAGTCAGGTGGCATTGTACATAAATATTCAACATTGATAGGACAACCTCAATAAGAACAAGTATTTCATTAAGAGAAATGATCTCAAAGTCTTATGTTCAGTCACTTCCTACTAACAAATCTGCCTAGTGTTTCCGTGTAGGCAGATTATAATGACACTCATAAAATACAAATTAAAATAATAAAATGACAAAATGTCCTTCTCAGAATTTTGAAATGTGAATGCTGACTTCTGTTAAGATGTATAGGAAAACAGTATGAAGTTCTAATTGCATTACTGCAACATTTTGAATTTAAGATTCGTACACAATTCTCTATAAGTTCTTGGTAAACTGTGGAAAATAACCAAAACGTTACTCACACATTCCTTAGATATTCTCTAAGCCAGATGGATACCACAAGAATTTATATAAAACAAAGTTGTTGCTCTCTAAAGCTAAGTAAATATCATGCCAGAGCAGAAAGTTATTGTCCTATCTCACTCTTGAACAATAATACATTAAAACAAATTCTCCTACACACAGAATTGAATTTCCCATTGAATGACCAAACGGCAAATTAGAACTGTGTCTTAAGTCTCACATAGAAACAGTTGAAAAACAATTGAAAATGAGTCTAGTTTTCACCACCTTAACTGTGGCCTATGATTCAGTCTAGAGAGAACTCGTAAGCTTTTATGACTTTTATGACTGTTCAAATGTCTGAGAAAAAAAAAACAACTACTAATTAATAACATACTGTACTTTTTACTGTTTCTTTATTGCAAAGAATATGTGTTTCATTAGCAAGGTGAACTGCCTTTCTATTAATTTAAATAAGTCTGTTATTAAAATGTGTCTAACTTTTTGTTTGTTGTTTTTTATAATGATTCATTATGAATTACCACAATGCCTCAGCTACCAGTACAGAATTTGTTGTTACTTGTTTGTACTGTTTATTTATTTCATTATAATCACATGATGTAAATTTGATTTTGTCTTGAACAATTGCCTGTATCATTGTGAATAAATAAATTATACATTTCCAGGACAAAATATTCTGGATGCACTTGAGAATGGTGTTTCACCATATCCAAAACTTGAAGGCAGATTTCCTCAAGTGGCAGGAGTTAGTTTTGCATTTGATCCTACTCAATCTCCTGGAAGTCGGGTTGATCCTCAACTTGTGAGGATAGGAGATGAATATTTGGTTCATGACCAACACTATCGTTTGGCTACTAAGACATATTTATTTTCTGGTTGTGATGGATATAACATGTTGAAAGATGCAAAAATTTTGGTAAGTTAGTATTATCTTTGATTATAATTATTGTTCCTCTTTTCATCATATATTTAACTAAAGAATAACAACTGCACATGTAAATTAGTTATGTTTAATTTAATTTTTCTAAATGAAGATTTTCCTAAGCATTTATTGTTTCATGAAACATATAGTATGAACATATAGTAATATTTTATGTAATAACATGTGTTTTATTAAGCTAAATTTCACAGTAATGAGAATGTCTGTGAACATTCTGAAAGGTCATAATCTTATATCATCAAATCACTTGTAATAGTGATGACTGTTGGGCATTGACTACAGTTGTTGCTCAATAAAGACTAGTGTATTTCAAATTCATTTTGTATCTAAAAAACAGTTGATTCTAATATGTTTACATGCATCTCGTGCTTCCTGTAGATGGAATAGTTCACTAATTTGGGGAAGCTTACAGTTTTGAGATTCTAATTTGGGTCAAATTATCCTCAAATTCAATTCATTGCATTAGCTCCATAGCATGAAATCCTTTAAAAATAGGTGCATAATATAGAATGTTTCTGGTTTCCCTTGTTTTGAAATCCAGTACTTGCTCATTGATTATGATGTTATCAGAAACATTCCTACACATTCTTCCACTTTACTGTGAATTTTTCAGTGATGCAGTTTTGCGATATTGAAGATGTAAGAGGGCTAAACAATTAATTTGGCAACTGAAAAAAAAAATTGACAAAAAATAACTACATTTCCTTAGCGTAGCATTATGATGAACATCAATATTATACCTTGAATTTTACAATTGAAGATTTTTTAGGGGGATGGGAAGGGTAAGTGCTGTTGCCAGAACGATAGCACCAATATACTTTACCATTGATGTTCAAGACATCTAGGAAAATTTACATCTTACATCAAAGTGAAAGCTATATTTAATACAGTAAAGATTGTAAGCTAATTTATTACATTTATATATTATGTACTATTATGATTTATACATTATTTATTATACAATAAAATCTGTCTAAAACGAAACCTGTACAAGCCAACAACCTACCTTAACCAGAAAATTTCTGCGGCTCTTGAAGTTATGACATTTTACACTGCATAAAACTGAACCTGTCTAATGTAGAAATGGAACCATTTTTTCTTGTTCTACAGGGGGGAAAAAATTATAAAATGGAATTCCTGGGAATTTACTGGAATTTGCAAAGAGATGCTAGATATTCTTTTTCTAAAAGTCTTGTTTTAAATTCTCTATTCTTGTGATAAGTGATTTAGTTATGGCAACCAGGCTGTGAAGGAGAGGGCTTAAGCTGTCAGCATAGAATTCAACCTTGGCTTTGCGTGTCTCTCAAAGTGTACGTCGTAGGGGAATTTCCTCCCTTCGGACTTCCTGAGCATGGGAAGATGTGCAGACATGGCTTCTATTTATGTGTCTCCCTGCTCCATATTGAAAATTGTAATCTCTCAGCGAGAGACACATTGTGAATTGAAAGAGTCAGTAATCAGTCTGACTGCAGCCACTGGGCAGTGAGGATGGGTGTATTTTAATGAGTTTAACAACCATTTTAACAATGTTTGGAAAAACGCATGAAACCCTAACCTTAGATAAAAATATCAAACTTACAAAAGCAAGAGAAACTCAGAAGCTGTCAATGAATATTTAGTATTCATGTAATGGTGATTTCTTCTATAAGTATTTTATATGTAAATGTATTTTAATAATAATAATAATAATAATAATAATAATAATAATAATAATAATAATAATAATAAATATATACATTAATATAATAATAATAAATATAACGCATATAATTTTTTACTGTACTTAAATTACTGCATAACTTACTTTAATTTACTATCTTCAGAATGGGAATATCAATATCACAAGTTATAAAATAGACAAACCTGCATAAAATGGAAACCTCCCTAAAATGGAAACTTTTTTGTCCCAATTGATTCCGGCTAAGAGAGATTTTACTGTATTTATTCACATATACAAGAAACTACATGTTTAATGCTTTCTCAAATACCCAATGGTACTACTTCACTTTGTTTTGTCCTAGGCACAGTTATGTTTCCTTTCCTAGAACAACAGTTCAAGAACAAATATCAATGTTAGAGAACTAACAAACTAACAAGATAATTATATCAGCCTTATGGTTATTTTTGTTTACTTCTTTATCACTTATTGATTATTTGTAAATGTATTTGTAACATGGACATGAAACCATTAATTAAAGTAAAAAAAAAAATCTAAAACATGTGAATAGTTTGATTTAGGCCCTACAATAATTTTTTTTATACTAAAGAGTTGTAACCACGTATTCAAGCATCACAAACGAGCACACAAAAAAGATAGGAAAGGAATTTGTCTGAAAACATATGCACCACTGATGATTTATTGACTTTTTTAAACTTTTTATTCTCACTCTTGCTTGCATTTGACTTCTGTTTAGTGTGTTTTCAATGAGTTCATTCATTTTATTAATTAAGTTCTAGTCGTTATATTTGTATTTTTGGTTGAGAACTTCCTGTGATATGTTCTAGTAATAGACACATTATGGGATATTTCGAGAATATTTGTTAAAATGGAATAAAAAGGGGGGAAAAAATCAATATTACTTATACTGCGATTTTCACAACTCTGCCCCTGGCAGGTAACCAGGTGTGGTATATGGTGATGTTCAAGCTCCCGTTTGGATGAAACTGTCAACGCTGATGCCTGCCAGGGACAGAGTTGAATAAATCACAGTATAAGTAGGTGAAATCAAGAGGAAATTAGTCCTTAGTTTTTGTTTCTCCTTGTATTCCTTCCATTCACTTTTATGTAATTCAAAATCTGGAAACCTAATAAATGTCATTTAAAAGAAGTATGTTTGTGTTATTTGCAGGTCGATGAAGAGGAATGTCCGGAACTTGGTCGAGCTGTTCAGAATCATTTTCAGGCTATTAACATGAGATTGGGGAAGACGAAACGACCATCAAAACACAGACAATCCCTTGTTACTTTGTCTCGAAGGTATGATTTATATTTTTGTTCATTGTATTGATGGAAATACTGTATTTATAACAAAGTAAATAAAGTTTAAATAACAGAAAAGGCTGGGAAATTAGATAAGTTGATATTCTGAATGAATAGCATACTTGTTTATTTACCTCTTAATATGGAAACACAATTGAACTGCATAATAATTATTGGAAAATCTTGCTCTTTTTTTCTTACAATAAGTGTTTTCCTCTTCTTCAAAGCGATGGAATTTGTTTGTGGGTGTGACTGTGTAATACCAATCACTACTTGTATTACTTATAGGTAATACCCCTTAGTGACAATACTTTGTCGTAATAAAACATCCCAGACAAAGGAAAGTTTATAATGTTTATGCGAATAATAAATAAAAGTTGCTCACTTTTGTTTCATTATTACAGACACAGTCTTGTTAAAACTTTGGACGGGAGCAGTGAACTTGATGGACCTCCTCCTCTTCGAAGAGGCAGTTCTGCAGATATTGGGGATAGACACTGTGGTAGCCCTTCTCCCCCTCATATACAACGAAGTCGCCTGACACGACGAGCAAGTTTGGATGATTTGGAACAAGAGTCTTGCCAATTGATGCCACGAATTGAAGGCCGTATAGTTATCTTGAATGAAGAAGTAAGCTCAGAAAAATATTAAAGTATGTTAGCAATATAAATGTTGAACAAAAGATAGTTGACGTAATTACAAGGAATGCAATCTTAGAACACTGTGACACTGACAATAATTTGAGGAACCTAGCGAGTTAATTAGTTAGTTAATGCCTTATTTTACGTGGTGAGACTCGGGTCTTCAGGCCCGCTCTTCCATCTGACCATGCAAATGTTACTATGTTCCTCTCACCATGTAGCAGAAGAATAAAGTAGCTGGTGAATTTAGCTCAGAGGCTTCTTTTGGGCTTGAGGATATTTTACATACAGTAAATCTACAACATGGGACAGCTGGCTTTACTTCCCCTCTTAAGGAAGGTGTATAAAGGATTTTTTCTCCCCTAAAAGTCCAATCGGGTTTGAACCTGCAAACGTGGACACAAAAGCCCCATACCAAACCTAACTGTTATACCACCTAACCCGAGAGTGTGTTGTGCATTTTAATAGTCGTGAAAGGAACAAAAAAGCTTGTTTTTATTCTTGTTATACTGTTTCTGAACTTGGTAATCTGTTTACACTGATGATAAATATTTAAGAATACATCCATTTTCGGTGTGTAAATAAGCTCTTCAAAGGTGAAACTTGACGTTATAATTTCTTAAATAGGCAGCATAAATTCAAATGAAAATAACTATTCAGAATAAATTTTATTCTGTTTCAACCTGTTTTATTCTGACTATTATTGAAACTGCATTCCTTGTTGCACGAGATCAGAAAGTAAATAAGCAGCATAATATATGTATCACCATATATTAGAGAGAAGCAATTAACTCTTACTACATTTCACTGAAGGTTAATGACAATATTGTTTGATTAACTGTTTGGAGTACAATTTAGAAAAAGTTATGGGTATTTACATCAAAACTGTGTAATAAGCATTTGCCGTTTGCCTTGCCTTGGGTCAAGTATACATCATGTGTGTTTACTACCTCTTTTAATATTAATGATTTGTTCCTCGTCTGTTTTAAATGCCTTCGGTAAAACATTTTTGGTTGATGTATATTGTTGCAGAAACGAAGGGAACTGCTGTTGGAAAGGCAAAGACTAGAGCAGGACTCAGTCATACCAGAAGTTGAAGATGAAACATCTCCTCAAGGTAGCCTTGATTAACAAGCAAAACTTGAATTTAGTGGGTAATGTATTAATTATTTGAATTTTTCTGATATTATTTATTGAAAATAAATGTTCAGTTTGTGTAAGAATATTTTTTAGTCATCTTGCTATAAATTAGTCGTTTTGCTCTCTTATCTCCACCAGTTTTAAACCTTTTTTAAACATATTTTTAAGGTTCTAGCACTGACATTCATTCATTTATATGAGTAGATGGCATTTGTCGACTGACAAGTTGTTTATTTGTTGTATAAAATGATCATCCTATATTTGAAACGTTTGCATATTTTTGCACGTTTTCTTGTGTAGTCAAAATTCTGTCTGCTTTCATTGATGTACAGTATTTGTTTGTCATGTTTGAAAACAGTAAAAAAGAAGCAAATTGTACTGGATCATTGAATTTGAAGTTTTTTCCTAGCCCTTTGCAAGTGAACATTGTTGCTAATAGAACATTGAAATGCTAGTGCACATGAAAGATATTTTGATGTGAGGGTTAATTGCAGCCAGCTGCAGAAGGAGATAATTGCTGGGGCATATTATGTAGGGGCAATGCACATGCCTTTTTTACTCTACTTAAGCCTCCTGTGCTAAAACAGGCCTGTGTAGATTGTACTAATATGTACATACTAAAAGTTTTTTGAAGATACTGCCTTATATACTAATTTAGTGTTTCATGCACTGTGTGTATAATTTTGTTGTTTTATTCTGTTGTAAGAACTTGTGTTCTTTAAAATATTTTAATTTATACATACCCTTTTAATTTAAACTTTGTTATTAGTTTACACTGAGGAAAGAGATTCATATTCTTCATCCATTAGGCATTATGAACTTAATAAAATTTGTTATTAAATTTGGAAGCTGTAGCTGGTGTAACATGCAACGCAGTTACGCACATTCTAGATCTAATGTAGTATATTTAGTTGTCTTTTAGGGAACTCGAAAACAGACCCAACACTCATTCCATAACAATTTTCCTACTGTTAAAAATATGGGGGTTTTCTCATTTTTTCTTGTGGTTTCTCTTCCACTAAAATGGATATTTTCTTATAAAAGTAACTATAATTACAGTATAAAATAAAAGATTAACAAATACCTTTCATTATAAATTGTCTTTATCCCACTACTAGAATTTTCTACACCCTCCAAGTTTGTATGTGAACATACTTTAAATACAACCAGCCACATGCCTCCAAATAAAGCTTTGGTGAAAAAGCATAACCCTTTCACAAATTTCTTTGACTTTGAAAAGCGTACGTAAAATTCTTGTGCATAATGACATTCATTGTTAAAGAAGATATAAAACAGGTTTTATTAATGAGTGAATCCAAGGATGCTTTTGCATTGTTATGAGTAAAGATTACAACAAAACTGATACAAGTTCATGGAAAAATTTGAGCCCATTGTCATTTTGATTTTACTTTTAAAAGCTGTAGTACTGAGAGGCTACAACATTTGATTGAAATCAATTAACATAATAAAATTAAACATTTTAATTTATTTTCACCTTAACTATTAAATACCTGTGGTCAGAGAATAGTCTTGCGGAAGTAATTTGTACTTGGTTATTTTTTTTCACCAACAGTGTAATGAATAAGTAATTGGAACTTTTTTCGTCAACATTTTGTGAAGTAGATATTGGATCAAAAAATGGTTGGCTCATTTAACATTAGCAATTTTATTTCAAATTAATTTCTGTATATATTCCGTCCACACTCTTGAGTTTAAGAAAGTACCCTCACGATTTGAAGAGTAGAGGTAAATGACTTGATGTTATTTTGTTATTAATGAGGGGGGAACTCAACTCGCGTCACTCTGCTAAAACAGAATCAAAGTTGAAAAATTGGCAAATTGTGTAATGTGGGTGATGTTAATATATTTTGGTTTTTACCTTGATCTATATTGTTTCTTGTGAATTTAGTGTAAAACAAGTACAGAAGTTTGCTTTTAAAAAAAATGGATAGAATACCTTTTTTTTTCTTTTCTTAAAATTTAAATGAATATCAACCTCATTATCTGTAGCATGTTTTTAAACAGTGGGTTTTCATGATAATTTTTTATTGTTAAACATCATTATTTTATTTCTTTGCTTCTTTGAGTGTCGTGAACAGATGTAAAGTGGAAAAAAGGTCCTGAACATAGTCGTTGCCCCTGGCAGTGCCTTCAAAGAATCATTTGACAAAAGTTCACACTAATTCTATAAAACATTTAAAAGTGTTTTGATTGAACATTTTTAACATAATTTAATTTTTTTTGCTCTCTAACTTCCATTGGTTAGAAATGTTGAAAATATTTTTAAGGAAGGAATCTCTTTTTATGAGTACTTTAAAAAGTTATTCAATGACTTTGTGACAAAAATTCCTTTATTTCTGCCAATGTATTTCAAAGAATTCTTGATGTATTAAAAGTCAGAGTCCAGACAAAAGTTAATAGGCCTTTTGAGAGTATATGAAATCCAACATTTTTTGAACCAATAAATACTGCTTATTGTCTAAAAATAAAGCAATAGTACTTATAAGAAGTATATCTTGAAACATGTTGAGATTTATATATATTTTTTGCTGCACTCCTTTTGAAATCTTTAACTAATTAATAGCTGTGGTAGATGCTTTATATGGATGTTACAGATTGTATGTGATAGTGAGCTAAGCTCTTGCAACTTACATTCCTCATGAAGAGACCATATTGAGTGGTTGGTAATTGTAATGGAGTTTCAAATACATTTATGTATGGGACTCCAGGATTGTTACTTTTGGTGCTTCTCCTGACTTTGTTTCTAATGTAGCATGAATTGTAATATTTTACAAGACATTTCATGATGGATCAGTGAGTGAATGTCTCTTAAGTGACTGTGTTACACATTTATGTGAAACCTAGAGAATGAAGGAAATTATATAAGCATTATGAAAAATAATCATTTCCAGTATAATTCAGATTTCCTGAAGCAAAAAATTGCAAATACCTTATTTAAATGCTGCTTTCCATCCTGTCTAATTTTATTTTATTCTTTGTTTTTGTTTGTGATTTGTTAACTTTACATTTTATGGTGAACCTGTACAAAAAACTAATTTTTTTTTTTGAAATACTTTAAATCCTTTTCTCTATGAGAAAACTTATGCTTTGTTGTTTTAACAAACCTCACCCATATCTTCAACCTATCCCTGCCATTGAAAAATACACCAAACAAACCAGCATTAGATTCATTCTTGGGAATTTGTAAATTAGTTACTTAGTAACTCAATATGCTAGGAGCAATTGGCAATAAAAATAAAACCCTGCGCTTTTTGCTCTTGGCTACAATTGTGCTGGGAGCATCCCCAAAGGAGGGTTTTTATAATTGGATTCGACATCAAAATTATAGCTCCTAGCAGAACATTTCTAGAAAAGTTTTTTGGTATGCTGTGTGGTGCTTTTAATACGAGCTTTGCCAGTTTGATGATTATGAGTTTCAGTGCTCCGGTGGAAGCAACTCATAATTGAATTATTAAGTATTAATTCCCAACACATGTTTCAGAGAACAAAGTCCTGAGGCAGGTTGAATGATTTATACTTTTTCTTTATCAAAAGCATACTTGTCACTTAAGAGTAGATAGTGTGGTTTAAAGATCCATGAGAAATTTAAAATTTGTTAAAGTGTTCACTTTCCATGTGTACACAATGAAAATTAACAAATTTTAATAGATTTGTTTGTTTTTTGTTATACAAAAATAGTAGCAAATTTAATTTAAAAGAGATAATAGATAAAACGAGGCAAATAAAATAACTTAGTTTCATGAACCGTGATGCGTGCAAAAACGTGTTTTTTTTATTGTTTCCTTATCAAATCTGTCAATAAGCTAATTTCAAACAATTAAAAAATTAGACATAAAACAACTTCTTAAACTACCATTTATTCGGTAATAACATTTCCACTAGGGGGCAAAAATTGCATTCCAACAGAAAATCAATCAAAGAATAGAATTTGATTTTTCTGTAAAATTTGTGCAAAAATATCCCTTGCTCTCCTTCTTGACCTTAGGTTCATTCTGCATACAGCAAAAATTTGCAAATTATAAATCAAACAGGATCCTGAATGACGATTGTCATGTCTTGTAAGATACAGTATTAGAATAACAGTAAACGATACAAAATCAAGGGTGCTGTGTCAATACATTAAAGTACAATTGAAATTATGATGTTTAGTTTTAAGGGAGATACTTGTGATATATTTTAAAGAAGTTATGCAATTTAGTACTTGTAGATAAACAAATGTAATTTCAATATTTTAATTACTGTACCTCACCAATTTAAGAGATTTACAGGCTGGTATTTTCTGATAAGTGTGGTACAAAAAAATAATCAGATTCATTTTAATTTACTGATTAACATAATGCATAATTATATTGATAACCTTGTACTTAATGATTATTTGCTCAAGTTACAACAAGCAATAGAAGACAACGATATATAATTTTTTAAGTGTGTTAGTCTTCCTTGTAATTGATTCTGGAATACTAATGTTGCTTGCTGGAAGTTCATTGAAATGCTTACAATCACTATATTCTGCTTAAGCTGTACTTTTTGCGTAACAGCTACACTCACCAACTTTAAAAACTTTAGATATTAGTTCGTTGGTTTTATAGGAATCACCACGTAATTTTGTGAAGGGTACAAATATTTTCTTGAAATTTGTGCATTTGCAAAGTTACATGCAGTAGGAACAACATTCAGAAATCTGAATATAATGCGCATTTTAAATATTTGTTTTGAACAATGTAATTTCATGCTAACTCAGGAAGTAAATTTCATTCCGATCTAACCTGCATCATATAATTTATTTTTCATCTTGAAACCTTATATATTAAGCTTTTTAATCTTATATATTAACGATCAACCTTTTCTGCTGAACATGCACCTAAAAACAATAATTTAAATTTAAAATACAATGCAATTCATTCACATTCAAATATAATTATTTATGTATAATGGAATCAAGCTAGTTTTAAACCATTCATAATTATCACATCTATGTACATAATACTTCACTAACAAATCCTCATTCAAAACAACATAGTCCAAGGACTTTAAATATATTTTAAACAATGAGTTTTGGTATTTGATATAATAAACACCATTGGTTCAACTCAACAGTCAATTCAATAATCGCACACTGGTACTGATATCACACAATTTTAATTCTTTGGCCTGACTCTCAACCAACATCTTCGGAATTTATTTTCAGTCATTTTAATTTCAATGCAATTCATAGTTTTTCAAAAGGACTGCTAACAGTCATGGCGATACTTTCCATATTCTGATTATCACACTTCACAACAGACAGATGTTATTCTCCTTTTTTTGTTTACTATAAATCAACTTTTGGGCCTAGATTTACAGGGATGGCTTGCAATTCGGTCCGCATGCACAGAAATTCACCACACACACACATGATGGCAAGACACGCAATGTTCAGTAGCCACCAAGAGAAAGCATTGGGAAAATTTGCATTATAGAACCAACAAACAAACAGATGAATTAAATGAACAGTACATGTGAAATCCAAGCATTGCTTTGTTCTCTGCACAATACACCAAAGACCCAGGGATCTGTAAAGATTTTCAAATTCATTAATTCATTCACAAATAAATTAAAATAAATTGTCTAATTCAATAGGACATACCCCACTAATGCATTTAGTACAAATGCAGTGATGACTAATTTACCATTCACATCACGAACATGAATTTCCTGAAATAAATATTTCAGTTATGAATATATTTCACATTACATACAAAAATGAAAATTTTAAATAATTAAAACCTGCTGACTTAATAGATTAAAGTAGTAACCTTCATACCCAATTTGTGTAGTTTCCTTGAGCCACAGAAAAAATATACGTAAATACAAATAAATATAATGTATGTGCATTTAGTTATGTCACATTCGTATGAAAGGATGCAAAAAACAAAAAGTCAACCACACAATTACTATTCCTGTACAACTATATAATTGAAACAGCTGATATTTTATTGCTGGCACCGGTATTTAATTAATGAATAACATAAATTTTAAGAATAAGGAAGAACATTAATTTTGATTTCACTGTGTATAAAAGTGAAAAGAAATTGGCTTGCGGTTCCAAAAATTTCCAATTTGATGTACAAAAATACTTTATCCAAGCTATTTCTTAGACTCATAAGCATGTAGTTCATCGTAATTGCTCCCAATATCACATTCAATGCAAAGAGATCATATCTTTTGAATGTTAACAAACATGTTTACTGCTCAAGTACCCTCCACCTCTTCTTTCATCTCACTTGCCTCTTCCAATTCTTATCACCCAGTGTTTTTAGGTCCTGAAGCATATCATTCTTCCATCTAATTTATGTCCTCCTTTTATTGTGAGTTGTTAAAAGACTTCCAGTTCATGATTTGCTTGGTACTTCAATTAGAATCCGTCCTTTCTAGATGTCCTAACCAAGATAGTCTTTTGAATTTTACATATTTAATGATGTTCTTATTTTTTATCAAAACCTTTAACTCTTCCCATTTAGTTTACATTCAGATATTAAATAGAAGCCTTATTGCAGATGTTACTAGGTAATGTTGCTTAGAGACTGAAGGATAAATCAAACATGTTTTGGGTAATAGTGATGATATTGATTCATAATTATACACTAAATTCCAAACTCATGACAAACACCTTTTTATACTTCAGGGCAATTATGAGATTTTCTTAAAAGACCTTGATATCATCTTAAATAGTCAAGTGTGCCCCCATGGCATTCTCAAAATCAAAGGAAAGACAAGTGGGCTTTGACCCTTAAGACACTGTTGAAAAGGTGCGAAACAGATGTGAAAACAGCAAATTATCAACTTACATTAAAGTTTTCACAAATGAGCAAAACCAATTCAATAAGCTGCAAGATTTTTCACATTTACTGAATAATGCCAGCAAATCTTCACAAGAAATGTGTGCCTGCATCAATTGGTAAAAACTGGTAAGTACAGACTTGATACAGATCAGCCGACTTGATGTGTATCAAGAATTTTTATTTACATTTCATTTAAAACCTATTTTTATTCGTTGACTTATCATCATCATCAACAACAACAACTGCAGGTTCTAGGTCTGTCGCTTGTTCTAGTTTCCCAGTAGACCAGAAGGCTTATACCAACTGATCCAGCGATCTCTTTTGAGGTTTTCTCACATCCCTTTGCCCTAATGGATTCTACTTCAACACTGATTTTGGTAATCTTTCTTGGTTCATAAGAGACTCATTTTCTCTGTCCATTCTTTATTTCTTCTACTAAATTTTTAAGTCTATAGCCAGTTTCTGTTGTCTTTACTCCTTTGCTTAATGTTGAATGTCACCCCTGCAAGATGACAAAGGAGTCTCATTTGCATTGCCTCCAGTTTTGTTGCCCACTACTTTTCATTGTCCTGACTTTCAAAACATACACGAGGATTAGTTAAGATATCATATTGTAGATTCTTAGTTTGGTTTCTTTAGTCATATCTCTTGATTAATTCATTCATCATTGTATTTCTGAAGTTTGTTTTCCATGTCTTCTGATCTCTGTCCAATGAGGTGCCCAAACAATTAAATTTAGGAACTTGTTCTATTGGAGCCACAGTGGCTCAGTGGTAGGGAATTGGCTTCCTGACCTGAAGGACTCAGGTTTGAATCTCAGAATTGAACATAGGTTGGGATTTTTATCAGGGATTTCTATTCAGGGTGGCTCTGAGGTCACCTCAGCCTCCTTCCCAAGTGAGTACCAGGATTTTTCCTGAGGGTAAAGGCAGCTGAAGCTTTGTGCTAGCCACACAATCTCCAACCATGTGCTGACAGTGACGAAAAGGCAGAACCTTACCTTCACCTACTCTGATCATTCCAATGTTTTGCATTATTTTCAAACTTCATCAAGAAACAGATCATAACAATTAATACTCTCTCACAGTTAGTGTGTACGTGTGTGTGTTTTTAACCCAACTGCCATTTGCAATAGGTATTTTCATGTTATTTACTTTTCATTTCACAGACAAATGTATACATAAATGAATCTTTATGAATACCACTAAGAATCTCAGGAAGGTTTTAAACTGCAACAATCCTGTTCTTCTGGAACTCTCTGAATGTTGAAAGTCTTTCAATATAGTTTGTTCCTTAATTACAAGACATTTTAAACATCTTGTGCAAGAAAATTGTCAACACGTCTGCTAAACTTACATTGCTCTAGAGAGATGGCTTTGCACATTTTCAACAAATTTGAAGAGTTATGAGATAAAGTATCATAAACAGTCAATTTGATCATTGATTTCACCTTAGCAATAGATTTAATAACTCCAGAAAACTTAACATTTAGTAGGAATCAAATGATAGAAAAGGCTGGAAAGAGCCAGCAACAGTCAGAAGTACCCAGTGTACGTGCCAAAGTAATCAGTCTTGTCAAATTTTATATTGTTATGAAATATTATAATAACCAATATGACTTGTCATATATAAATAATTACACCTATGACAACACATATTATCAACTGGTTAAATAAATTTTTATAATGCCTGACTACTACTTTTATTCTAGCTTCATTGCAATAATCTTTCATAGTTTACCTGGTATTTAAACAGATGATCGAGGGAACGAGAAGATCCCACAAGGGTGTCCATCACTACCATCCATAAACCCAACCCAACATACATGACACATTGCATTGCTACAATTTGAGACACAATGAGTAATGGATCCCAGGTTGTGGCGCGGAACTGGCCTGTCATTTTCTTCATTTTGGAACTTTTTAACACAATGACAGTTTGAATACAAAAACAAATTAATTATCAAGCTTTAATACATAACCTAGAGAGCAAACAAAAATCAGTAAGTTTTCCTCTTCACCGTAGAATCCATGAAAATGTGAGTCCACGCAAAACAACCGATAGTAAAAACACACATTCCTCAAAAATATGTATTTTCAAACAGCCTCTAGACGTAGGGACGTGACTTCAGTCAAAGCCCATGAGTCATACGCGTACACTGCAGCTGGTACCAGTGTGGCCATCCCTCGCCGAGAAACAATTATTTCTATAGAATTTGGTATCATGGTGTCAAAATTATCAATTTTCGATCAAACTCGGCAAACATTTTCGGAAGATCCAAAATTGTCATTTGAATATTACAAGAAGTACCTGTTACCTTTTACCAGGGTCTTATCGTAACGAACCGTCTCCTATATCGCGAGATAGGAGAACGAAAGTGAAGAACGAGCGGCGGGAACAAGAACATTCTTAAAGTGTTCAGAATGACGTCACAACGTTTGGCGGGTGTGTTGGATGGCAACTTCTGTTAGCGTGAGCTGGCGTGAGCGGGCTGTATTATACGGTTACCGAGGTGAGTGTGTCTTATCACATTTGTTATTTACAATGATATTTGCTTTCTTTCAGTTAATTTAGGTTTTCGCTGCGAATTTCGTCGACAATTAAATCGACGAAATTATATTTAAAGAAGCACTATTTTATCAACTACATTTTCAAAGTCACAACATTTTAATTTTGACAGTGGTTCCAAGTAAATACTATAATGACCTTAGTTATGAAGCTAAGGTGCTGCTTTATAATACAATGAAATGTATGAAACACTTGGATCCACGTGCTCTTTCATCGGATATGAAAAGTGCCAATGAATTTCCAGCCCCTTTGCTTTTAGCTTAGACGTGGCTCCTTCCATGTATTTTCATTATTCGATCTTTTAAATATTTATTTTAGAAATTTATATTAATTATTATCATAGAGAGAAATATTACCTATATTAAACTTAATAATCGTTCGGAAAAACTCACAATGTTCATAAACAATTTCAAAACATGTTGGTAATTTTCAGCGGGGTTTGAGAAACTTTGAAACACCAAGTTGCTAGAGTTTGATATAATTTAACAAATTAATTTTCAATGTTTTGTATAAATATATTGTTAATTTAAAAATATAATTAACTATTGCACTTTTGCAATATTGCTTTTTATCGTATTTATACTTTCGCGTATACATACGTATATGTACGGAGTAATATACGTTGTATAGGGAAAGTTATGTAATGCTGCATGAGAAAACGGCGGATTTACGACAGAAAAAACTTCATTGCTGGGCCTGATAACGAAAATTGTCAGTCGTTTTTGCTAATTAAGGGGGGAAATCCTCTAATACGTGATGTAACGTTGAAATCCCTGTTTAGTGGACGCTTGACACCGAAAAACAAATAGACGGCAACAAGTCCGTCATTTGTCCTCTCCGTGCTGTCGTCTGTGAACACAATAGCGCCTAAACCGTACGGTTTTTTTTTTCTCATTTTCTTCCAAAATGATATTCCCCGATCGATCTTGGCTCCACTCAAAGCGCCGTGACTTTGAAAGCACTTCTTCGCAAAACTTGGGAGTCATTTTACATAAAGGTAAAATTTTGTTTTTTAAAATTTTCTTCGTAAAGTACACTTTATAACGTAGCTATAGGTTCAAATTTTACGAATTTAATCTGAATTTTTGAAAATTTCGAAACTTCGATTTTTCTGTCCGGCTGCTACATACAACTAACAAATTGAAGATGGACATTTTTCCTTCCTCCATATTTAGTCTTTCATTAAGTTCATGTTGCATCTTTTTTTTTTTAAATACAAGGTTTTTTGCGTAAATAAATTGTGCAAATATTAAAAAAACCCAAAACAAATATTCTCAAACACACTCCAATTTTTACTTTCCTATAGGTACGTGTATATACGGCAGTATATACACGTTATTAGATAAGTATATTTAGTATAACGTATGTTATGTCAGTATAACATAGTTTATTATTGGCTCTGCGGAAACGATTCGAGATTTCAATGTAAATACCACGTTTTGGGGTCCCCAGATACCAGAAAATTGGAATTTTCAAAACAGTCCGCCTCTCCCCGCGCGTGAACACTACTTGTCTTAAGCCATCCGCGGGGATTTTTCCAAATGAAGATTCCTGTCCATCTGGCCTAAGTTGAAGCTTTGACAGAATATTGCAAAACATTCTTTAAAATTGAGAATACCTTACAAGAAGCCCCCCCCCTGTTACAGAGTGCATGCACTTATAAAAGTGGCATAGGCCGATTTTCGACGGTTAACTCTAATTTTAGAAATTTCACAAGTATGATTTTTTCAAATCTTCTACAACTACAAAATAAAGTATTTTCCCTTCAAATTAAATTTGTGTCTAATTAATTCTCCCCTCATTAAGATTTTACATATTTTTAGGAAACTTATAGGTAGTTTTCGCGCAATATTGCCGTGCCATATATTGCACTTAAAAAAATCAAAACAAGTTTTCTCAAAACAGCTCCAACATTTATCTGTTATTTTGGTAGACGATAGTGCCAAATTCAGTCTTTAAGATGACTTAAAGCCAATTGATCTATTATTTGTTTTTTCAAAAACGAACATAAATGTCGTTTTTTACTTGTGTCTCATGTCCCCCCCCGTTAAATATTTAATTGCGGCATTTTGTTCACATTTAATTATATCTATGAGTACAGTGCTCTCTAAATAATGTTCAGAAAGTTTTCTCGAAAACCCAATAATTTTCTGTGAAAATAGCCTCAACAATTTCGCATTTCAATAATGCCTCAAAGCGCCATTTTCCTAAAAACGAACGTTTTAGGGCCTTAAAGCTCAAAATTTTGAGGCAATCAGCCTAAAAAAAAAAAAAAGTTTGAGCTAAAATTGTCACACGTGCGTTCGTTGACGAACGTCACCTACGCTGGTGAAGTCAGCAGCTCTTAGGTCCAAGGACCTACGAACACTCAAGCACGTCGTACATTAACACTGCTATATTATACCGAAAAGGCACACAGCGCTCTAGCATCGGCGACGTTGATGGCGCAGAAAACGCGAAGAAGATTAATCAAGAGTCGTGACAGTATATACAGCTGCGAGTGTAGGACACACGCAAGTCGCCAAGAGTGCTCGTGTCCTTCCGCATAAGATACCGCATAAATGGTAATCTACGACTCGCGGTGACTCTGCGCCGGCAATCGGACGCAGGTTTAGACTCATTAGCGTTATGGTACGCATCAAAGTTAAGTCAATCCCTAGACGACTGCGGCGTATGACTTTGGGGAAAAGCAGCTGTTTGAGAGAGTGCGTGTTCCAATACTGTTGCTGCCATTCTAACTTTCCGCTACGGAGTAAAGAGAAAGTTATGTAATGCTCGTCGCCGAAAATCTGGCGAATATTTTGTAGGTCCGCATACTCTAAGTAATGACGGATTCTCGGCATATCCGGGGACGCAAGTCTTGGCTGGGCGTACGACCGCAGTCACTACCTGAGAAAGCCTGCGACATGTTGCAGGCGAAATCGTCGGTACCCACTAACGACGCGGCGTCTCCCGGATAGCCGAGAATTCATGGATTCGAGCCGCGGAAGCTTACGAATACACCTAATAATGACGGCCAAACTTGTTTGTCCGGGAACAATGCTACAGCTTTCAGCCGATTTTCTCCAAAATTTATATTCCCCTACCGATCTGACTTAAGTCGCGGATCCTTAAATTTGAAACCGATATTTTAATTTTGGAGGTACTTAACATGAAGCACCTGAGATATTTCCACACACACACACACACACACTCACAAAGAAACATATTTTCATTAAATTTTGTTGTTGGATAGTGTGAAAGACGTTTAAAAGAGTGGTGCAGGTCTCATTTTCATCAAAAACCTGGTTTTTTGAAAATTACACAAGTTCAAAAAATGTTGACATCTTCCTACAAGTATGTTGATAAATATTTTTTTTCAATTCAACTTATTCCTTAAAGATAGATTTTGAAATAAATTCATATATTTTTTTCTACTTGAGTACTTTTTGTGTAATTTTGCATGAAAGTACATGCTGATTTAGCACCTCTAGTTTTCTGTGAGATATTTGCATATATTTCTGGCTTCTCAATTTCCTGTTCTTCATTTTAAGAGATTTTTTTACTTCTTTTTATTGTTCCTACTTTACTGAACATAATGTATTCTGCTGAAAATTTGGCATTAACATTTCTTTTTCTATGTAAAGTTTATTCATATTCTCAGATTCCCAAGGCCTTTCAATACTTTTGACACCCACTGTATATCAATTGACTTTGACATGCATATTCCATAAAGTAACCAAAACTCCATGAAATTTTCTTCATTAAATAGAACTTGCAGATCTTAATTTCCTTTGAGAACATCTTGATTTTTGTTAACTCTGAAAACTTAATCTTCAATTATGGAAATATTTAATTTTAAGTTCCTTCTAATTCTGTCATCATCATATATCAAACAACAATAAATTCAAGAACATACTATTTAAGGTACACATCTAATTGAAGTTGTTTAGTTTTAGTACACTAATGCTCGAGCCTTGCCTTTTTTTGAAGAGAATACAGATATATTTTCAGATTTGCTATTCATATGGTTTGATTGTATAATGGACAAGGTAAGCCTACAGTTATGATATGAAAGCATCAATTGCATTGTACAAATAAGATGTAAGGGAAATACAAAGGAAATAGGAAACTGAGATGATTAGCTGTTATTTTGAAATGGTACAAATTATGTTTCCAAAATAAGCAATCATACTTAAACTTTGAATTTCATTGATAGTTCCTGTTCAATATTCTTAATCATAAATAAAAATGGCTCTACTGTAAAATAATAAAATTAAAACGATAAAGAATACAAGAATTTAACAAAGATAGAAGACATTCAATTATCTTCAAATATAATAATACATAAAATTGGTTTATTTCATAAACAACAACCAGATGTTGAATAAATATTTCAACTTACAATGCATTAAATAACAAAAAGGTTTCTTCACATTCAACAATATTGCACTGTACATTACATATACATATAAAATGTTAATTTTTACAAATATATTTGTGTAAAGAAAAATACTTCAGAATAATTTCAATTGCCAGCTTTTTCTTTGGGACTTTTCACTCATTTTTCAGTCTTAACAGAAAGCACTGAGTAGACCACTATAAGACACAGAAGGCAATTACATTACAGAATATAACAAACATGCTGAGGAAATATCAATATCAATTTGTAGTTTCCACAGAAAGCTTTGAAATTGATGCAGATTTTAGGAGGCTAACATACATTTCTTATATTTAATAAGTACTGGTATATTAAAGCTTGGTAAATGTAAAAATACAAAATAAAATAAAATAACATTCATTAAATAAATTAAAATCCTGAGAATAATAAAAAAGGCAGTTTTGAACTGCAGGACATCATATCCAATTAATATACAATCATACCACAAAAACATTCATACATAATAATCTACAGCATGGTGGGGTTTTCCTTGTCACATAACAAGCTGAGGAAAAGACAAACAAA